GTGGGCTTGCTGGTCACACTAATCTACGAGAAGTTGTGGGCAAAGCAACCTTTTCTGCGGCATAGCTTGTATCACAACACCTCATCGATTATAGCTTATGTGTGCGGTTCCATTCAGGGCATGGTAGTAAGAAAATCCCCGTACCGGTGCTGAGCAAATATCGTTTGAAGCTGACCCTTGTCTTATGACAGATGTACGGATTGTTGTACTAGTAAGTTCTTCAATGACGACAGGACTAATGACAGCGCCTGACATATGAGTGTAGTGGCCCGTTCTTCTTCCTAGCCATAAAGGGATTCTCCCCGCTTGATACTGGCATTGCAATGCTACCAGCCTCGCTGACTGTGACGAGTGCTGGCATAATCTGCGGTCGCCTAGTGTCACGCTACAACAATTATCGCTGGGCTATCTCCGTCGGTTGGCTCGTTGCGAGCATCGGTGCCGGACTGTTCCTTATCTGGCCGCATAATGATACCGCTACTGTTTGGGTGATAACATATCTCGTCATCGGCACGGGACAAGGTACTATCCTCAACGCTCAGAATTTCGCCTCGCAAGCTATGTGTAAACGAGGGGATGAGGCTGCAGCCGCTTCAATGTACGCCTTCGTCCGGCAATTCGGCATGGCCCTGGGGGTCGGCATTGGTGGCACAGCATTCCAAAACATAATGTCAATCAAGCTAAAGTGGCTCGGGCTTCCAGTCGAGATAGCCAAGCAGGCCGAGAGCTACATTAGCGTGTTGCACAAGCTGCCTGCTGGGGACTACAAGGATAATGTGATGGGGGCCTACAAGTATGGATTCACCGGGCTCTTTTCTTTCTATCTTGGCATTTCCGTCGTTGCTTTTGTGCTATCAACCCTCTTCATCAAGAATGTCGACTTAACTCGTCGCCTTGAGAGTGAGCATCGGCTCGATGATAGTCGCTGGGAGAAGCGGCGCACCTGATTTACTACTATAATAGTAGACGACAAAGCAGGGCTAGTCCAGGGAACAAGCGTACATCACAAGTTTGTAACGGGTAATACTGGTGGGTTTCTTGTATCGTATCGAGATGGCTACAGTTAGACGAGAAACTCTCAAGGCTAATCAGTCAGAAACCAAATGAATAGTTGGCACGTGTGTAAGGCCGCGTAGGTACCAAGACGAATTCTAGCTAAGGATGGTAGTACCTGACCGAGATAGTGGCGATGTACCATCCACCCATCCAATGTAGAGGTGAACCTTTTATTGTTAGATTCCTAGTCTGCACCGATGTGTTGTTGGATCTCGGCATTGTGTTCAATTTGCTCCAGAATCGCGAAAACAGGTTACGCGCCAAATATTCTTCTATAAAATAAGTTGCGTCCGAGTTATCGCCAAGAGGAGACGCGGGCCAGATGCTGGCCAGGACTCTGATACAGGGGTCGGGCGACTGAAATACTGATGATATTGCAGAAGCCAAGAAAGCATATGGTAATCAACCTCATCATGTGTTCCTTTAAAGTTGATTCATATTAATAGTAGCTAATGGACGGGAATCTAATGAGCATGACTTGGTGTGTGAGGGTTTGGGTTGCCTCGCGATTGGTCAAAGCATGCGTTGCAAGCCCTCCCTCACCGACATGAGCAAAAAGTAAAAGCCAACCTAAAGTTTAGTACCTGGCGCTATGCGAGTTTTTACGAATAGACGTTCGTGGATTAATCAAGGGGCGACCCCTCATCAGTATGGGAAGCCCTAGTGTTAGCTACGACCGAGACAATACCGTCATGTCGGATACTTCATCCGATGAATCTGTCTAAGCTTGTCTGTCTAAAATTGTCGCCTAAACATAACTCAGCCTTCCTTGGTCGGTGTTCAGTAGGAATAATAAACCCGCCTAATCTCACCTAGTCACGGCTTTTCTATGTCAGTCTAGTCCAAAAGCAACCGGCTACTCCTTAGTAGATAGCGGTGATATATGGCTTAGAACAATAATTCAAAGCCTCTATCGGCCGTGGCTGCGAGCTACGCATTGATACCGGCTCACGGTGGCTGGTATCGCAAGCACATCTCGTCGGGTGTAATCTGTTAGGTAGAGGAGTTCCTATCCGCCACAGCCAGGATAGGCACATCTGCCAAGAGAGTGGCGGTTGCACAAGCTAGACGGCGGTGAGGGGTTCACAGATCGGAATTTCATGATATTCAAGTCCAAGTTTATTTTCTAACATATCCGATCCAAGATAGTCCTACGTCATTCATTCCGCAAGCTACTTCCTCCTGACCCTAATCTTGACACCATCCGGCGGGAGGCACGCATCCGTAAGCCAGTGATTCTGCGGTCTCCTGCCATTGTATTCGGCGGGGAACTCGACATCGTAGTTCATCAACACGTACGCGATGATCATCTTGAGCTCGAAGTCGACGAGGAACCGCCCTGGACAGGCGTGCTTCCCGTGGCTGAAGGCGAGGTTCTGCGACCCCGTCGACACGAAGCTCAGGCTCGCGAGGCCCGGCTTCCCCTGCTCGTCCATCTCGGCCTCGCGGGCGCGCGAGAATCGGAATGGGTCGTATTTGAACGGGTTGTCAAACGCGTCAGCGTCCGTCTGCGCCCAGTAGGCAACGAATGACACCGTAGCCCCCTTGGGGAGAGCAATCCCATCTTCCGTCACCACTCCGTCGCCGACTATCTTGCGCGCCACGCCGCGTGTGGAGAAGGAGTGCAGTCGGAGTGTCTCACGGGCCACGCTGTCAGCCCGCGTCATGGCTGCTACCTTACTCTTATTCCAATTGGCTGACTTGTCGCCGCCAATAATTCGGGCGACCTCGTCGCGTAAGATTGATATGGTGTCGAACTCAGCGTCTGAGTCTATAATGTTGAGAAGCATGTTCACAACCTGAATACTCGTCTGGTGCATCGAGCCAAAGTTGGCAATGCATAGCCTCTTGGTCATGTCGTGGAGACTGAGTGCTTCATCTCGGCGCTCTTTCAAACCATAACGTAGCATTATTTGAATATGGTCCTCTGGCGTTTCTATACCCGGGTTCGCAGTCTCCTCTTCCAGTATCCGCATCCTCTCTCGATATACCGGCTCAAAATATTTCTCCAGGTCTTTGATTTGCCGCTTGGCAGCGATACCACCGAGGCGGCCAAGGATCGGCCTTAGGAGCCTCGGGCTTGCGCCACCCAATCCCGCGTTTATAACGAGCGCATCCGCGATGTCAAGACTGCGTTGTAGGTACTCCTTATTGTGGCCTATATATGGTGTTAATTGATATCTAGTTTCTGCACCAGGCTAACCTAATGAGTTTATGTAACTCACATAATTCACGACCAATGGGCGACCCCCCTAGAGTGAAGCGAGTAGCGGCCTGGGCTACAATCATGCGAACCGTGGGCATTAGATCAATGTCCTTCCAGACCTTGGTGTCCGTCCCGAAGTGAGAATCGATTGCGACGCCCAGCTCGTCATTCATGGCTGCGCAAACATTCTCTAAAACGGCGTTGAGATCCGTCTTCACTAGCAGTCCACCCCAAGGATCGTCCGCAAACTTATCGTGTCCGAGACCATAGAAAGGCTGAATAGTTTCAGTCTGCTGTGCAGACGCACTCACCAGGCGCTCGGGCTGGCGCTGCAGCCAGCGCAAAGCGCTCGGTGGCAGGATGACGTCGTCATGGAATCCGAGTCCGGGAGCTAACACCGTCTTTCCCTTTTTCGAGTACTACATATTCATCGCAAGTAATCAGCTGATAGCAAGACAACCAACACTAGCCGCAGTGTTTTTTTCATGTAAACAGCACGCACATTCTCATAGACTTCCTTGTATAACGCGCGAGCGTCGGCATGATACCTCCATCGCGTCTTTAAACTGAAGCGAGGTTTGCCGCCAATCCTGGGCAGATTTGACGGGTAACGAACGGTGAAGAAGAGCTGCTGGACTACCCAACCGACCGCAAGAAGCGCAACCGCACCAATCAAGAGGTGGTCGCGGAATGCTAGTCCGGCTATGAACCCCGCCATGGGAAGGTGTCTCGCGCAGTCACGTCAAGCTATTATTATACGTGGCAACACACCGCAAGCCTGGTCGCTATCGCTTGAGCTATTATAATGTCGCAATGCTGAACGCGGGGAGGTTTCATCAGTGCCAAACGCAGATGCGGCTAAACGGCGAGGTGGAAGTGTGGAGGGCGTAGGAACAATGGCCATATCGGATTGGAACATGTTACTTGTTGATCGATGACAGTTACGCCGCCAGCCAATGAGATAACTACCATATTTGTTTGCATTCTAATGGTAGTGCAAGGCAATCGACCCCTCCACCTGTATTATATTAGTGTACCTGTTTTACGTCCACGCCATGACACATTTCTCCATCAGATACATACCCATTTAATGGAATTGTCAGGCAACTATGCACATTACCTCATTGCCCTCTAACCTTAGCTGGTTTTAGTTCGGTAATCATTACTGTTGTCGCCTCGATCCGGCCAGTCGTCCTCAAATACATGTGGAGGAAATGGGCGGCTATTGGTGGGCACAGGCCTACTGCCGGTTCTTCTCAGCGCCGCTCACTGCCTAAGGAGGTAGGGAGGCGTAGCTGTCAGTGTTTCAAATCATGGCCTGGGGCTGACTTCTGCTGAACAATCTCAAATTATTTGGAAAACACGAGTCGTTAAGAACATCCGGGCTCTTATTTGAAGAAAGCATTCCCCCGCCTTGACACATACGTAGACCTAGCAGCAATTCAACGATATACATACTATGTAGTAGCACTAGCCGACACCGAGCTGAAACTACACTACATCACCGTGGGGATACTAGCGTAAAGTTCGCTACCGGTAGTTCGGATCAGTCTCCGGGTTGTTTTTTGACTACTCCGTGTGGTAAATATAAAGCCAGTAGATATTAAGACTCTTGAAGAAAATGAAAGAGAAGAAGAGTAGACTATAAATTTAATCAAAGGAGGAAAAGTTTTTTTTTTAAAAAGGAGAAAAAAAAAAGGATCGCTGCTCCCAGTAACCTGGGAGGCATCAGGAATTGAGCCCGATGCGGGGGTCGAACCTATTAGGTAGGGTTAGTCAATTTATCACACGACATTTTTTTTAATAGTGTGCTACTCACCCGCAACCTTGAGATTAAGAGTCTCACGCTCTACCGATTGAGCTAACCGGGCGAGTTGTGTCGTTGTTGAAGGAGCAGAGATTTTAAGAAGACCCAAAACAGAAATGGTGGAAACAGCTCGAAACTTGCACAGGCCGACGCAGACCTGCCCAAGTCTTACGTGCGGATATTCTGCACATCTGCCCTACTTTGTACACTAGATACGTGGTGTTATCGTTCAGTGCCCAATTATTGTTAACGTGTCCGGGGGGAGGCTCTGGAAAGGATACGATTCTCTACCTAATGTGATGTGTTTGTGAAACGTTCCCCTTACTACGTTATACCTGTATCCGAAACAACTTTCCATCAAAACAGTCGCACGTGTTTATTTAGTTGCCAGTTGAAAAATGCAACTTGTTGATCAACTTCTTTAACATAGTACTAGGGGTAAATTCTTTACCGGCTTACTCGGATACTCGCGCATCATTACATCATATTGCTGATGATATGATTTCCTTAGATCAAACGGCGCGGGTTGATGCCCCGTTCAAATCCCTGACATGGGTATTCAACATGCAGGGGCCCATTGACGGCTCCGGTAAACCTGGAGCGTCTCCTATATGTCACGTTGTCCCTTGACGAGTCTGACCTTGGGATGGCGTCTCTTCTCCGCAACGGCTCGTTGCAACGTCGCTTAACGGCTCATGTACACTCTCAACGATAGAATAGTTTCCGATCTCGCTTTGGGCATTCTATGACGTCGCGGGCGTTCGTTCCATTCATAATAGTACCGTAATAACCCCTATCACGAGCCCCATTCAAATTGAGCGGGTCTCTCTTGCTCAATCCGAGACGAAGCCATCGAGATTAAGTAGATAGATCACTAAACCGGTCACATAATTACCGTGTATATAAACAACACGATACGAGCAGGCAGAGTGTGCCCAGCGATGTCAAACGTCATTGAGCTGCTCTCTATCCTCCACAGGAGGCCGACTATGCTAATCGCATTAACCTTTCCATGCGCGTAGTTGGAACGTACCTTCTAGAATTCTGCTCGTAATGCAGTTATGATCTTGTTTCGGGAGAAAGACGTCATGATGGGATATGTTCACGATATGCTGAATTAACCAAGATAAGCAAGCAGTGTAATTTCACTGGATATTAGGCTGCTTTTACGGCAACCATTCCTTGGGAAGTATTCTGGAGCATAAGCTCCTTCGATTTCGAATCCGAGGAGGTGATATAGATGGCTCGGAGGTAGAAATACTACCGTGGGAGTTTGTATTTGCGAGCCGATGATGACTGAGCTGGAACTCAGTGGAGCGAGCTGGCAATTGAGTCACTACAAACAAGAATTCCCGTATCGTTCATATCGTGAAACCGAGCCAACGCAATTATCGGGAGTCCATAGAGGCGACGCGTGTGGTGGCATCGGCGGGGAGCACTCGGCCAATCTCGGGGCCCTTGCGAAGGTGCATCGCTTGGCTCTATGCGAGGAGTGACCTTTTATATGGATATCGCAGTATGCAGAGCCAATACCTAGTCTGCGCATTTATCGCATGAACATCAGATCCTAAATGACCCGTCCCGTCGCGCCACAAAGGATATGTCACGGCATTCGTGGACTAAGTCACGAAGCTCGCGGAGGATCTTGATGAAGATAGTAACGGCTTGAGGATCCCCGAGCGCGCTGGTTTCATGGCACGGGCGCCAGGGACAGATATAATGATACACCGTGTGTTTCGATAGGAAGGCCAGAGCAGCATGAGTAGAAGAGAAGGTAGGTGTTAGTGATGGTGAGGGAAGTGCAGCAGGCTGAGCAGAAATATATTGAGGGGTATTCTGATATAGGCACACTAATTTGGCAAGTGAACATATCCTCTCAAGTGCGGTAGAGGCAATCTCGGGCCCAAACCGATCCATCTTAGCTTACACTTTCTTTCCCATATCGCCGATATTCCCCTACCGATCTATTAAACATGATGTTTTTTTTCATCCATAATTACACTGTTGGTGACCCTGTTTGAGTGAGTGCGGCTTGATTCAACGAGGGAACGCGGTAGCGCCGTTGCGAAATGTGAAGACCACCAACATACAAAGCGATCGTTGTGTGGATGGCACTGTATAAGGAATGCCGAAAATTCAGCAACGCTCGTGCCGTTCAAAGGGTATGATTTAAAGCCGAAATGACACTGTTGTACAACATTCCAGCATAACGCCGTGAGATAACCTGTCGTTTGATATTTCGTGTCTCATATTCTGTCATTGCGTAAAGGAGAGAAGGTCGTTCGTGCTATGATTCCACCTTCACCTCGAGGCGTCGGACGACATCATCGTACATCCCATCGATTTTGGCGAGCAGGAGGGCTCTTCCTGCTTCCTGGCGGTACTCCTTGTGAAAAGCACGGTACTCGGAAGAGTGGAGCGGGCTCTGTGGCACCTCTGCGCCGGTTACAATATCTCGAGCGACGTCGTCGAATGCCGTACTTTTTTTCGACGACTCTGATAAGCTCCGGGGCCGCGTATGTAGGTCTAGACCGCTAGGTTTCTTGAGGATACCCTTGGGCCTCGACAGGGGGGAGTTGGATAGTGCGTGCATTGTAAGTGCTTGCTTAGCCTAGCCTAGCCTAGCCTGGGAACTATAGCGTGAAATGTTGTTGGGACTGAGACTTTGTAGTCTAACCTGAGAAACACTGAAATTTTGTGTGTGTGTAGCCCTCTGACATCCACTGGTGGCCTTAAAGAGTTGTGGTGTGATATTAGTTATAGGTATATGAGTCGCAGACAGTTGAAAGCGAAGTTGGTCGTGAATACTAATATATGTGAGTAAGATCAACAAGTTAGGTTCTCGCCAACGCCATCAACTAATGACGAGCGATAAGAGCAGCGAGAACGGATTGCCTCCTTCTAGAGGATGTGATCCGCTATACCGTACCGTGATTCCGTGGGACTTTGTGTTGTCGTGGGGGGATTGGATCGAGGTTGTACAGATCGGGAATCGTTTGACGCACTGAGAAGCGTTGTAACGAGGAGAAACAGAACAGAATTGGGATAAAGACCTAATTGGGTCTTGACTGAGGTGCCTCTGGGGTTTTGTCGGGGAGACAGCGCGCGCTGTCTGCCCTGTCTGACGTGGCCGTACGTGACGCCGCCGAGTCAGCCGGGTCAGGCCGGCAACCCATGCGACAGGGTCTCATTCCGCACCCTAAGTGGCCCAAATGTCAGGGACTCAGGCCATTAACCTCAGCAGGCACGTCCACTATCCACACGTGGCGGGGCCAAGGACCATTGGGGAAAGTAGCTGTTGGTCGAAGCTCTTCTGCCGCGAGATTTGGCGACGAATACAATGCGACGTTTGGTGATAATCGCTCAGCGACCCCGCGGATGAATGGTGGGTGATATAGCTTGGCATATGCAGCATCGCAGAACCCAAAGTTGTCAAGAGACCGCACAAGCCGAATAGGCTTCCATCCCGAGGAACATCGTATTTCCCCGCGACACCTGTCCTCTGACAATCGTCAAGCGTGTTATCGAGTAAGAAATAGGAAGCATTGGCCCGTGTATCGCCAACAGGATATGAGCTTCTCTAGGCAGTTGGCACAACCCCCTCCGCCTCTCGGTTGTCTCGAAGACTTATTTACCTGTATAAAGATATGGCCTAAGACGAGAAAATAAAACAAAAACAAGAGGGGTTCCAAAGATTGGAGAACCCCGTCGGACGATGACTGAGATCGTGGAGGGTGGGGGAGCAAGGGTTATCTTGTCTTGGATATACTTCAGCCAAGAACCGCCGGTACATTATCGTCGATGATGGCATGATAGTCGACTAATCTTGCACATTGAAATACCTACCCGGCGTACTTTTTGCTAGGGCGGATTTCCGACAGTAATACAAAGCCTGCCCGAGACCAACATCAGGTCGCACCAGCTAAGCCAGCAGTAAATTTGACACCTGCTGATAACTTATCCATGTCCCCGGCACATCGCTTCACACCGAATCTGGCCGCCAAAGACATCGAAGAACAGGGTCTTGAATTTGAGGGAGGGGAGGGGGGCACACATCTTCACCACACGACCGATGTGTCGGTTTTGATCAGGGTACACTACTGATGGAGGATCACGATCATGTGTCGGGCTATGCACCCCGCAAAATGATCGACGCTTGTTGGACCCTGAAATCGAGGGGGAATGGGATACCCGATACCCGTACACTACAGTACATGGTAGAAACCAACGAGGGGGGTAGTCTAGGAAGTCTGCTAGACAAATACACTAGGCATCTGTGGAAGTATGACTGTGATGAAGCCTTCACAAACCCGGAATATTCTATGCCACCTGCGAGGTGCCAGGCTATCCCAATTGGGGGGTTGAAGCACCTAGTAAGCAATTGGCTCCGAAGTCAAGAAAGCAAAAATAAAACCTTGGCTAGAGCAGGTCTAGATTCACGGGAGATTGTTGCAAACATGTTGGGGCCAGAGTCGGGGCGCATGATAGGTTCCCTGACGGCGGTATTTGGTAGATATTTGGGGAATCTTGTTGGAGATTCAGGTCTATGAAAAAAGGGACGGGTCAAATCTGGCTGCCTACTACTACCCCCTAACTTGACCTGCCTCTACACTACCTAATAATTCATGCATTACACACTAGCTATCTACCTCTTAGTGTAGCTCAAGTACCTACACTTAGAGTTGGGTAGGTAGGCACCTCGAACTATTTTAAGGTCAGTACCTACCCAGACCCACTAAAGTTCTTACCGACAGCCACCGAACACTACTGACTTACAGAGGGTAGGTCAAGGTTCAAACCCAACAGATAATGAGTGTACAATTGGATTGGTCCCTTTTTCTCAGGTACCTAGGCAGGTACAGGCCTAAAGCTACAGTACAACAGTAGGTACCATATAAACCTGCTCTGTATCATTCCCCTCAACAAGCCTCAATAGGCATATTTAATAACGTGCTGTGTTCATATGTTTATTCATACTCATCGTGAGTACAACATTACAGAAAGGACCTGCACTAGACTCGAGTAGTGTATGTCAGCAACAATATCTAGGGAATCTACATAGTA